GGGAGCAAGCTTGTTTTCTGCTGCCCCGGAGACTTGGACGCAGAACAATGGCTTCAAACTACAGGAAAGGAGATTCCACTTGAACCTGAGGAAGAACTTCCCAATTGTAAGAGCTGTTCAGCAGTGGAACTCTCTGCCCCGCAGTGTGGTAGAGGCTCCTTCTTTGGAGGCTTTTAAACAGAGGTTGGATGGTCATCTCTCAGGGGTGATTGGAATGCAATTTTCCTGCTTCTTGGCGGAAAGTGGTTGGACTGGACGGCCCATGAGGTCTCTTCATCTATGATTCTATTATTCTATCCCTTTCCTTTTCCCCATATTAGAGGGTTTGCACATAGTCGAATTATTATTATTATTATTATTATTATTATTATTATTATTATTATTAACAACATGATCCATCCTTCTTTTTCCCCTCATATTAGAGGGTCCACACATAGTAGAAATATTAATATTAATAATAATCGCAATAATAATGTGATTCATCCATCTTCTTTCCTCTCATATCAGAGGGTTGGCCCATACTAGAAATATTATTATTATTATTATTATTATTAATAATAATAATAATAATGGTTAGTGAGATTTATTTTATTCATCTCACAATAGTTTTTATACTCTGTTGGATTTAAATTGTTAATTAGATTGTTATATGTTTATTATGTTTTAAATGTGTCCATAATGATAAACTCTGTTGTGTTGGGCTTGGTCCCACTTGTAAGCCATCCTAAGTCTCTTCGGGGAGATGGTGGCAGGATATAAAATGAAGTTATTTTTATTATTGTATTGTCGAAGGCTTTCATGTCCAGAATCACTGGGTTGTTGTGAGTTTTCCGGGCTGCATGGCCATGTTCCAGAAGCATTCTCTCCTGACGTTTCGCCTGCATCTATGGCAAGCATCCTCAGAGGTAGTGAGGTCTGTTGGAATTAGGAAAAGGGGTTTATATATCTGTGGAATGACCAGGGTGGGACAAAGGACTCTTGTCTGCTGGAGCTAGATGTGAATGTTTCAACTGACCACCTTGATTAGCATTTGATGGCCTGGCAGTGCCTGGGGCAATCTTTTGTTGAGAGGTGATTAGATGCCCTAAATTGTTTCCTCTCTATTGTTTTGCTGTTGTAATTTTAGAGTTTTTTAAATACTGGTAGCCAGATTTTGTTGATTTTCATGGTTACCTCCTTTCTGTTGAAATTGTCCACATGCTTGTGGATTTCAATGGCTTCTCTGTGTAGTCTGACATGGTGGTTGTTAGAGTGGTTCAGCATTTCTGTGTTCTCAAACTAATATGCTGTGTCCAGGTTGGTTCATCAGGTGCTCTGCTATGGCTGATTTCTCTGAAGAGCTGCAAGACTGAGAACAAGCCACAAGACGCAAAAACAAAGACCCACCCAGAGGAAAAGTGTTCTTGCCATACATCAAGGGAACCACTGACCACATAGGGAAGCTGATGAGGAAACACAACATACAAACTATCTACAGACCCACCAAGAAAATCCAACAAATGCTACGTTCAGCAAAGGACAAGAGGGATCCTCTCACTTCTGCAGGAGTCTACCGTATACCCAGGGGCGGCTCGTCCATTACACAAAGTAAGCAGTCGCAGAACACTTTTTTTTTGCCAGGGGCGCAGAGGCGCCTCTGTAAATGCCCCTTGACTGCCACTTGAGGAGCGCCCCTCAGCTCACAACAGCCCTAGTAATCCGGGGGAAGCCTTGACTTTCTTGCCTCGCTGCCGGGCGATCCTCTTCCCAAAGGGGCCGGGCCCTTGAGCCTCACCTAGCCCCTCTCGTTCCTGCTGCGCCTGGCCACCAGGTGCGCGAGCAGAGCCGGCGCTCAATCGTTCTCTGTGTTTGATCCCTTCCCCATGACGGGCTCCCTTTCCTGATCCTCCGGCGCTCCACCTGTCTCCTCTCCTCTCCCCAATCCACGGGTGGGCCAAGGGGTGGAGCCGCTGCACCTGGCCCGCTTCGGGTCCAGAGGCATGTCTGAAGACCCCAGCGTGCGCACCAAAAGTCGCCTCTTCTCCTGACTTTCTCTTCAGCCATTGGGACCAAGAGAGAGAGAGAGAGAGCCCCTCCGGCTGGAGGTATCTCCCACCTCCGCTCCCTCCTTTGTTTTTGCGCCTACCTTCAGGAAAGGTGGGCATCTCCACCTCTGTCTCTCTCTGTCTCTCTCTCTCGGTCCCAATGGCTGAGGAGAAAGTCAGGAGAAGAGGTGACTTTTGGTGCATACGCCGGGGTCTTCAGGGACCCCCAAATGCAGCTTTGCCCAAACACGAATCAAGGGACATGAAAGGCACCACAGACTAAATCAACCAGAGAAGTCAGCCATAGCAGAGCAGCTGATGAACCAACCTGGACACAGCATATTATTTGAGAACACAGAAATGCTGGACCACTCTCACAACCACCATGTCAGACTACACAGAGAAGTTATTGAAATCCACAAGCATGTGGACAATTTCAACAGAAAGGAGGAAACCATGAAAATGAACAAAATCTGGCTACCAGTATTAAAAAAACTCTAAAATTACAACAGCAAAACAACAGAGAGGAAACAATCTGGGACATCTAATTACCTCTCAACAAAAGATTGCCCCAGGCACTGCCAGGCCATCAAATGCTAATCAAGGTGGTCAGTTGAAACATTCACACCTAGCTCCAGCAGACAAGAGTCCTTTGTCCCACCCTGGTCATTCCACAGATATATAAACTCTTTTTCCTACTTCCAACAGACCTCACTACCTCTGAGAATGCTTGCCATAGATGCAGGCGAAACGTCAGGAAAGAACGCCTCTAGAACATGGCCATATAGCCCAAAAAAACCTACAACAACCCAACTACTATGTCGGACTACACAGAGAAGCCATTTAAATCTATAAGCATGTGGACAATTTCAACAGAAAGGAGGAAACCATGAAAATGAACAAAATCTGTTTACTGGTATTAAAAAAAATCTAAAATCAGGACAGTAAATAAAGAACAACATTCAAAAACAGGAGAGTTCCAGACAAGAAACAATCAGGGCCAGTTAATCACCTCCCAACAAAGAATTCCTCCAGGCAGTGAGAAGCCTTGAAGCTGCAAGGCCATTCAATGCTAATCAAGGTGGCCAACTGCAACATTAATACCTACCTCAAACATATAAGAGTTCTTTCTCCCACCCTGGACACTCCACAGATATATAAACACAGTTTTCCTAGTTTCCAACAGACCTCACAACCTCTGAGGATGCCTGACAGGCAAAACGTCAGGAGAGAATGCTTCTGGAACATGGCCAGAAAACTCACAACCTATCATCATCATCATCATCATCATCATCATCATCATCATCATCATCACAAGAATAATGTGATTTGTCCCTCTTCTTTCCCACATACCAGAGGGTTGGGACAGAGTATAATAATAATAATAATAATAATAATAATAATAATAATAATTATTATTATTATTATTAATCACAAGAATAACATGATTAATTCTTCTTCTTTCCCTCATATCAGAGGGTTGAGACATAGTAGAAATATTAATATTAAGAAAAATAATCAAAATCAACGGGAAATAGATATTAGTAACTAATAGAAGTAAATCACTACAAAAGACCTACAAAGAAGGAAGGAGCGGCGTAGAACTAATTATGGAACTATCCAGAAAAAAAAATCCTCTTTGAATAGATGGAAGTCACTTTTAACCACCCCCCTACCTCCACCACCTCCCATACCCCCCTGTCTCCTTGCCCCTCTCCCCCTCTCTTTTTTCCTACTGCACTATTCTCTACATACTGTTCCCCCACTTTCCATGTATTTATTTATAACTTTAATAAAAAAATTATTTAAAAAATAAAATAAAATAAATAAATAAATAAATAATCAAAATAATTAGGTTCTTGTGGGTTTTTTTCGGGCTATAGAGCCATGTTCTAGAGGCATTTCTCCTGATGTTTCGCCTGCATCTATGGCCATAGATGCAGGCTAAACGTCAGGAGAAATGGCTCTATAGCCCGAAAAAACCCACAAGAACCTAGTGATTCCAGCCATGAAAGCCTTCGACAATCAAAATAATAACCTGATTAATCCCTCTTCTTTCGCTCATATCAGAGGGTTGGGATGTAGTAGAAATATCAATAAGGTAAAGGTAAACCTTTAAAGGGAAAGGTTTCCCCAGACATTAAGTCTCGTGGGTCCGACTGGGGGTTGGTGTTCATCTCAATTTCTTAGCTGAAGAATGGGCGTTGTCCGTAGACGCCTCCAAGGCCATGTGGCCAGCATGATTGCATGGAGTGCTGCTACCTTCCCGCTGAAGCGATACCTATTGAATTACTCATATTTGCATGTTTTGGAAGAAGCTGTGGCTGACAGCAAGAGCTCACCCCACTCCCCGAATTCGAACCATCAAAATATCGGCCAGCAAGTTCAGCAGCTCAGCGGTTTAACCCGCTGCGCACACCACAGCCTCAGAAATATCAATGGCACAATGGGTTAAACCCTTGTGCTGGTAGACTGAAGACCAACAGGTCCTAGGTTTGAATCCCGGGAGAGTGTGGATGAGCTCTCTCTCTCAGCTCCAGCTTGAGAGAAGCCTCCCACAAGGATGGTAAAACATCAAAACATCCGGGCACCCCTAGGCAATGTTCTTGCAGACTGCCAATTCCCTCACACCAGAATCGACTTGCAGTTTCTCAAGTCTCCCATGAGACGAAATAATAATAATAATAATCAGAATAATGACATGATTCGTCCCTCTTCTTTCCCATCATATCAGAAGGTTGACACATAGTAGCAATGGTTTGGCATCTCTTGAAGTTCGGACTAAAAAAACCCTGCTTTCCACGGAGCTCGGAGCCAAGTAGGCACAACCCACGCGACAGCAGACACCTCCACCTGGAAAAAGCCCACCCAGGGTTCTTGCAGAGCCCAGGTCTTTGCTTGTGGGTGGGTGGTGCGCCCCCCACGGTAGGACGCGGACACGCGTGGGAAGGGAGTGGGGGTCGTGGGGCTGCTGACCTGAGCGTGGGCCGAAGGGGGGCTCTGTGCGCTGCTGCCGGCGTCCCCTTCCTCTTCCTCCTCCTCGTCCTCCTCCTGCTGGGCCTTCATGGTCGGGGTCGCGAGTGGGGTGTCCAGGGAGGCACCCCTCCAGAGTCGGGAGAAGAAGAGGCCTCTTGGGGGCTCGGCCTCACGGGGTCTGAGCCGCCCCACGCGGGGAGCATCGCCGGGACGCATCGGGGGAAAGGCCTGGAAGGAAGGAAGGAGGGAAGGAAGGTAGGAAAGTGGGAAGGAAGGAAGGATGGTTGGATGGATGGATGGATGGATGGAGAGGGAAAGAGGGAGGAGAGGAGGGCGAAGGAGGGGCTACACGCCACGAAAGCCTCGCCCAGAGCCCCTCCCGCGGGGAAGAATGGAGAAGGGGAGGCAGCCCACGCGAGGAAGGGACGCCTCGCATGCAAACACACAAGCACAACAAGGGAAGGAAGGAGGGATGGTACCCACACAACAGACAGAAGGGAAGAGAGCAGAGGAGATGGAACACAAGGCACTAAAGGCACCCAGAAGGAAGACACCATGAACACAGGAAGAGAAGGAGGGAGAGATTGGACACACCACACCAAACACATCTACACAACACTCCACACACAAGAGATGGGCATATGGCACCGGATGCACCAATACAATAGTCAGAAGGGATAGGCCCTGGGAAGAGCGCAAAGGAGATGGGACATAAGACACCGAAGGGACCCTGAAGGAAGGCACCATGCGCACAAGAAGGAAGGAGAGATTGGACACACCACACCAAACACATCTACACCACACACAGAATGGATGGACATATGGCACTGGACTGATACTATAGGTAGAAGGGATAGGCCTTGAGAAGAGAGCAAAGGAGATGGGGCACAAAGCATCAAAAGCACACTGAAGGAAGACACCATGCGCAAAAGAAGAGAGAGAGAGAGAGATTGGACACACAACATCAAATAAATATCTACAACATCCCATGCACAGAAGGGCTGGACAGACACAACACTGTCCAAAGAGAGCAAGAGAGATGGGACACACAACATCAAAGGCACACAGAAATAAGACACCATAGACACAAGGAGAGAGAGATTGGACACACTACATCAAATACATCTACACAACATCCCATGCACGGAAGAGATGGACATATGACACTGGATGTACTGATACTATAGGTAGAAGGGATAGGCCTTGGGAAGAGAGCAAGAGAGATGGGACACAAGGCAACAAAGGCACACTGAAGGAAGGCACCATGCACACAAGAAGAGAGAGAGATTGGAACACACCACACTAAACATATCTATACAACACTCCACACACAGAAGGGATGGACATATGGCACCAGATGCACAGACACAACACCATACAAAGAGAGCAAGAAAGATGCGACACACTACACTAAAGGCACACTGTAGGAACACACCTTACACACAAGAAGAGAAGGAGAGAGAGAATGGACACACCACACCAAACACATCTACACAATGCCGCATGCACGGAAGGGTTGGAGTTATGGCACTGGATGCACTGATAAAAGAGACAGAAGGGTCTCTTGGGAAGAAAGCAAGAGAGATGGGCGCAAGGCACCAAAAGCACAGTGAAGGAAGAGATCATACACACAAGAAGAGAGAGAGAGAGAAATTGGACACACCACACCAAACACATCTACACAATGCCCCACACACAGAAGAGATGGACATACGGCAGTGGATGCACCAATACAATAGTCAGAAGGGATAGGCCCTGGGAAGAGCGCAAAGGAGATGGGACATAAGGCACCAAAGGCACACTGAAGGAAGGCACCATGCGCAAAAGAAGAGAAGGAAGGAGAGATTGGACACACCACACCAAATACATCTACACAACGTCTCATGCACAGAAGGGATGGGCATATGGCACCGGATGCACAGACACACCGTCCAAAGAGAGCAAGAGAGATTGGACAAAGATACACAGAGAGAAGACACCATAGACACAAGGAGAGAGAGAGAGCGATTGCACACACCACATCAAATACATCAATACAACACCCCCACACAGGAGGGATGGACATATGGCACTGGATGCACTGATACAATAGGCAGAAGGGATAGGCCTTGAGAAGAGAGCAAGAGAGATGGGACACAAGGCACCAAAAGCACACTGAAGGAAGACACCATGTGCACAAGAAGAGAGAGAGAAAGAGAGATTGGATACACCACACAGAAGAAAAACACCATATACACAAGAAGACAGGGAGAATACACACCAAACACAGTGACAAATACGGTATATACAACACTTCATGCACAGAAGGATGGAGACATACCCACCTCTTCTCTGTGTGATATTGTGAATATGTACCTGTGTTTGGTGTGGTGTGTCCAATCTCCCTCTCTTCTTGTGTTTATGGTGTCTCCTTCCTGTTTGTTGTGTTTGTGTGCCTCTGCACAGAGACAACACCATACAAAAAGAGCAAGAGAGATGGGACACACTACACCAACGGCACACAGAAGGAAGTCACCTTACACACAAGAAGAAAGGAAGAATATACTCCCCCACACAGACACATCTACACAACACCATACACAGAGAACGGAGGGATATATGGCATCAGGCACATTGGCGCGATGGGCAGAAGGGATACGCCTTAGAAAGTGAGCAAGAGAGATTGGACACTCTGCACCAGAGGCACACAGACACAATAAACAGAAGGAAGACAACATACACACAAGAAGAGAGGGAGAATGGACATACCACACCAAACACAGATACATATTCACAACACCACACAGAGAAGGTATGGATATATGGCACTAGATGCACAAGCACGCCACACTGAACACCGAACACAGGCACAACAAACATACAGATTGGATACTCCTGTATGTACTGTTGGGTGCCAAGTATGCAATCTGTGTGTTTGTTGTGCCTGTGTTCGGTGTTCAGTGTGGCGTGCCTGTACATCTAGTGCCATATATCCATACATAGAAGGAATGGAATACATCATATACAGATAGTTTGGACACATGACACCAAAGGTACACAGATACATCAAACACACCGACACAACACACATAAATATAGACATACATACAAAGAGAGTAAGAGAGATTGGACACACTACACCAAACACATACATATAAAGTGGATATACGACACCAGGCACACATGCACAAAAGACACAAGCGCAACACACACACAGAGTTACCCAACTCCATGTGTGCAGAAAGAATGGATATATGGTGCCAGACACACAGGCATAACATACAGAAGGAATACACTACACACAGAGAGCAAGAGAGATTGGATATACCACACCAAACGCATACATATAAAGTGGATACACGTGACCAGGAACACATGCACAAAAGACACAAGCGCAACACACACACAGAGCTACCCAACTCCATGTGTGCAGAAAGAATGGATATATGGTACCAGGCACCCAGACAGAAGGAATACACTACACACCGAGAGCAAGAAAATTGGACACACATCACCAAAAACATCCAAGTAATACATTAAAGGGAGAGGTTGAACACATGACATCAAAGACACAGATGCAACACTTGTTTTCTTTTTTCTTTACCAAATGTATTTTATTTTGCTTGCTTTTTGCTAAACCCATGTGGTCTATTGCCACAGACATTCTAATACTTTTGCTTATTAGTGCAAATGAAATTATGTAATGGCCTGACAGTCATCAGATACGTAAATGTCACAAATATTTTAATAAGCAACCTATTTTATTAAAAATTAGTGAGATGTCTTTTCTATTCTCACTTTCAAATCTGGCCTGATTATGGCATTGAGAGGAGTCTTTTCTATAGGCCACCCATGCCCTCTGCTGGCTTTCGGAAATGCGATTTTTGTTTTGGTGTTTCAAGCCTGAGCCTTTTAAGAAGTTACAAACCCCGAGGGAGCTTTCCAAGGTGCTGAACCTGTTTTAGAAATTGCTTTCAGCCCCACTGAGAGCTTCCAAAGAGACCGCAATGTTATTCTGCTCTGGCATAAAATGGAAAATGGGTGCAGATGAAAGGCTCCAGCAGCACTTTTGAGACTCGCTGGTTTATATTTGCATGAGCTTTCATGAAGATCAATGTGCGTCAGAGCCTCTGAAAAAACAAAGGGCGTTTTAGCTTCTTTCTCTGGTTATAGAAATCATTCTCTTCTTTGATTTGGTTCAGACCAGGAAAAAAGGGGAGAAAATATTTTGTTAATCCAAACCAGTATGGGCTCTTGTAACCAATGGATGATTTGATGAATAAATATGTAGGTAAATCCCATTGATTCAACGGTCTTTCCTAGTTAGAAATAGCAATAGGATTCTGCCATCTTCTATTTCCTTTTGGACTACAGCTCCCAGAAAACCCGAGCCATGCTGCCTGGGGGGATTTTGGGAGTTGTAGTCCCTTGGTGGCACAGCAGATTAAACCACTGAGATGCCAAACTTGCTGACTGAAAGGTTGGTGGTTCAAATCTGGAGAACGGGGTGAGGTCCCGCTGTTAGCCCCAGCTTCTGCCAACCTAACAGTTTGAAAACATGCAAATATGAGTAGATCAACAGGTAACACTTCTGCACGAAGGTAAGGGTGCTCCATGCAGTCATGCTGGCCACATGATCTTAAAGGTGTCTATGGACAACGCTGGCTCTTCGGCTTAGAAATGGAGATGAGCACCACCCCCCAGAGTTGGACATGACTAGACTCAATGCCAGGGGTCCCCAAACTACGGCCCGCGGGCCACTTCCGGCCCGCCAAGGGCACCTATCAGGCCCGCGGGGGAGGAGCGCCCCCCCCCCACAGCCCGCCTCCCTTGGCAGGCTCACGTTGCCCATCGGGGGCGATGCGCAGCGTGAGCCAGCCAAGGGAAGCTGCTCCGCGGGGTCTACTCGCGCGTAAACACCTCGCGAGGTGCTTTACGCACGAGTAGACCCCGCAGAGCAGAGCCAGCCAAGGGAGGTTGCTCCGCGGGGGTCTACTCGCGTGTAAAGCACCTCGCGAGATGCTTTACGTGTGAGTGCGCGGTGCTGCTCCATGCAGCCATGAAATTGTACAATATCTGCTTTGAACTGGGTTATCTGAATCCACACTGCCATATATTCCAGTTCAAAGCAGATATTGTGGGTTTTTTTTTTTGCCTTGATATTCTGAGATAGAGGGCTGTTTGGAAGGGTCCCCAGAATATCAAGGAAGAAAACCCCACAATATCTGCTTTGAACTGGGTTATCTGAATCCACACTGCCATATATTCCAGTTCAAAGCAGATATTGTGGGGGTTTTTTTTTTTTGCCTTGATATTCTGGGATAGAGGGCTGTGTGGAAGGGTCCCCAGAATATCAAGGAAGAAAACCCCACAATATCTGCTTTGAACTGGGATATATGGCAGTGTGGATTCAGATAACCCAGTTCAAAGCAGATTTTATGTGGGATTTTATTCAGTTGCGTGGAGGGGCTCTGAGTTGCAAAAAGCTGAACTTTTTGAAGACTGCTAACATGTATTGGAGCACCCGGTGGCACAGTGGGTTAAACCACTGAGCTACTAAACTTGTTGACCAAAAGGTTGCAGGTTCGAATCTGGGGAGCAGCATAAGCTTCCGATGTCAGCCCCAGCTTCTGCCAACCTAGCAGTTCAAAAACATGCAAATGTGAGTAGATCAATAGGTACCGCTCCGGCGGGAAGGTAACGGTGCTCCATGCTGGCCACATGACCTTGGAGGTGTCTACGGACAACGCCGGCTCTTCAACTTAGAAATGAAGATGAGCACCACCCCCCAGAGTTGGACACGATAGGACTTCATGTCAGTGGAAAACCTTTAACTAGGAAAATTGTGGAAGATCTGGGGTGGGAGAAAGAACTCTTGTCTGTTGGAGTTAGGTATGAATGTTTCAATTGGCCACCTTGATTACCATTTCATAGACTGACAGTTTTTAGGGAGAATCCTTTGTTGAGAGGTGATTAGCTGGCCCTGATTGTTTCTTGTCTGGAGTTCCCCTGTGTTTGAGTGTTGTTCTTTATTTACATTTATAATTTTAGAGTTTTTTTAATACTGGTAGCCAGATTTTGTTCAGACTAGAAATAGGAAGATTTCCCATTCTCTGCTCCTGGAATTATTGCCTAAAGAAGGCTAGAAAGAACCCCCTCTTAGGGCCTTTCCACACAGCAAAATAAGATATGTGCCATGTGCATAGGAATATTTTATTGATTTTTTAAAATAAAAAAACTATAGTCCGGCCCTCCAACGGTCTGAGGGACAGTGAACTGGCCCCCGGTTTAAAAAGTTTGAGGACCCCTGCTCAATGCCATAGGAAACCTTTACCATTACCTTAGTCCCAAAGATGAGGATTTTCTTCAACTCTGGGCAGGAAATGATGAGTTGGAAGGTTTTGCAGTTCTCTTTCAGAAAGAAATACAGACCCCAAAAACTAGAAATAGATAAAGGCTTGAACTTTATTTTTTATTTATTCTTTAAAGAGTTGGGACCATTCCTTTCCAAACCTGGACATGTGAGAACACTTAGTGTGTGAGAAGATGAATACTCTGCTTCTACCACCACAGCCTTGTTAAGGAATATGCTTATGGTCAATTAATATTTTTTCCCATAGAGGAAATTTTTGGGTTTGGACTATTATAATCAGTAAGTTGAGAAGGTGGAAGTCATTTATACTTTGGGTTGCTGTGCACTTTTCAGGTTGTATGGCCATGTTCCAGAAGCATTCTCTCCTGACATTTTGCCCACATCTATGGCAGACATCCTCAGAGGTTGTGAGGTCTGTTGGAAACTAGGCAAGTGGGGTTTATATATCTGTGGAATGTCCAGAGTGGGGGAAAGAACTCGTCTGCTTGAGGCACATGTGAATGTTGCAATTTGCCACCTTGAAAGGAGGAAACCATGAAAATGAACAAAATCTGGCTACCAGTATTTAAAAACTCTAAAATCAGAACAGTACATAAAGAGGAATGCTAAAAAAGCAGGGAAACTCCAAACAAGAATCAATCAGGGCCAACTAACACCTCCTAACAAAGGATTTCCCCCAGGCAACAACGAGCCAGGCCTTAAAACTGCAAAACCATTAAATGCTAATCATGGTGGCAAATTGTAACATTCACATGTGCCTCAGAGAAGAGTTCTTTCTCCCACCCTGGACATTCCACAAATATGTAAACCTCACTTACTTGGTTTCCAACAGATGCCTCAACCTCTAAGGATGCCTGGCATAGATGTGGGTGAAACGTCAGGAGAGAATGCTTCTGGAATATGGCCATACAGCCCAGAAAACTCACAACAACCCAGTGATTCAAGCCACGAAAGCCTTCGACAACACATTTATACTCTGCTGTATGTAGAAGTTTAGTTGTAGGTGAGTATCGTAGCTGTAAAGTGTGTTGTATGTCTGATATGTTCTATTTTTGCATGGTGTTGTATATGTGTTGGGTTCATCCTCCCTAAATATTTGATATGTCTAATGTGTGTATGTCTGGATGTATAAAATGCTATTTGGAGAGAATGAACCTGTAAAGCTGCTTACTGTTCCATCATTCATACACACATATATACAAATATATGTGAATGATGAAATGGCATGCAGCTTTTCCAGCTGTCTGTCAGCCCCATCTGCCTCCAATGTGACCTGGGATCAATCGATTAATTCCACATCCAGCAAATCCCAGCTCGCTTGCCAAGACATTGTCCTGCCCTTCCATTTGGGGCCAGAAAAAGAGAGATAATTCACCCTTAGTCTGGCTAGAACCACAGTTTCTTTCCAAGCGACAAATGTCTCTTTCCTGCCCATTGTAACAGGTCAGAATAGACGTGGAAAGAGCCGCTGAGGATGCCATTGATTGTGATAGGGTTCGCCATTCTTCCCAGTTTCGCATTTCCACAAGGAGCGTATCTCCTAGCAAAGCATTTATAAACACACACACACACACACAAACAGTTCTTCTAAATATATGCAGATTTTATTTACACAGCCATGCCATCATGGTCACAACATGATCTTAACATGACACAGTGCAATACACAACTATTTACATAAACTAAACACCAGCATTGTCATCTCCTCTTAGGCCTCACCGACACTGTCAATTTAATGCAGTTCAAACTGTATTATATGATTAGTGTCGATTCATATAAAACAGTTTAAATGCAATAAAATGCATTATATGAGCCTTCACTCACCATATAATGCAGTTTGAACTGCATTACAGGGCAGTGTAGACGGGGCCTGAGTTGCAGGTCCTGGGTGGTTTGAGTCTCCCTCTCCTTCCCCAAAGGAATCCAATATTTATTATTACACATATTTCTATCCCACCTTTCTCCCCACAAGGAGACTCAGTATCGAGAAAATGTTTACACAGTTTTAGAAGTGATGAATCAAACACTTGAATAGTCCTTGAGAAAGTAAACTGTAGTCCAAAATAATATCCTTATAGTTCAAAATGGTAACACAGCTCTGAGTGGATAACAGTTTGCAAGTTGTGTTCTCAGGTATTTATACCCTGAGTCAGGGCTCAGGAGAGGAAGAGAGGAGCCAAGGCTTCCTCTGAAGACCTGACCCAGTTGCCCCAAATATTACCTTTGGCTGGATCTACATTGCCAAATAATGCAGTTGGAACTGATATCAGTGTAGACCCATATAATGTAGTTGGGTGCAGTTCAAAGGGCATTATATGGTTTACACTAACTATATAACACAATACAGACTGCACTGTATGGCAATATAGATCCAGCCTCAGTTTACTGCCATATCTCCACAGTCGTCTTTATATAAGGGACTGTTCATTCAAATATTCATTTAAACCTGCAGCACCTTAAATCTGACAAATAAAAGGATGGGAGATACACAACATCCCACGTCAGAGATAGGTTTCTGGGTCATGGAGGAGAGCCACAAGCCCAAAAGAAAGCACTGGGCCTTGCAGAGTTCAATGAAGATTTGGCTATACAATGCCTGATATAAAGTTTTTGGTGAAGATATGACAGGTGACATCTAGGAGGATTGTGTCAGGTAACACAAGCCAACAAGCATTTTTCATTAGATATAATATTAGATCATTCTTTTTGCGCTGAATTCAGATCTGTATTTATTTTTTCTCCATCATCCTGCAACCCGTGTTGGTAGTGGAGGGTGGAGGTCCTGGTGAGGATGACCTTGGTCTCCCAGCCAACTCGCCTGAGTTCAGGGTCATGGTCGGCTAGGAGGAAGATCGGCCCTGGAAGGGAGGGAAGAAGGATGAAAGACAGGTCAGCAGGTGAGGGACGGCACACATACTTCCCAGGGAGCCTCCCTCCCAAGGCCCAGCCCCTCTCAGGTCACACTTATAGGCCTCATAAGTGCAGACGCTCTTGGTGGAAATGTTGCTAGTGTTGTGGAGAAGGTGACCTGGAGAGAAAGCAGGCAGTGGATAAGAGAGGGACCACCTCCATGAGCAAAGAGCGTCCCAGCACTTCCTGACCCCACAATACACCCAAGGAAGGGGGAAACACCAGAGGAAGCTCAGAGAATCTTTGCAGGCAGAAGGGAGGGAAGGGGAGGAAGGGGAACCTGAACTTTGCTCTCCCCAAAGAGGGTCCCCAGGAGGGGCTCCAAGGGCCATTCTGCAGTGGTCTACATTGGGGGTGGTGGGTGGGGTCTCTCTGGGGTAGAGGTCCTTCCTGCTGCCCCAAAGGCTGACCTGGAAGCCAGGGATGGGAGTGAAGGGGGCCAAGACCCTTCTGGTTCCTTACCGAGCAACATGGCTGCCGTCTTCTTTGCCCAGGGATGCAGGATCTTGAAGAAAGGCAGACAGTCATACACCTGCTTCTCCACCTCCCTCGTGGAGCTGCAGTGCTGGATCTGGAGGAGAGACGGAGGTCAAAAGGGGGGCTCCTTCCGGCTGCCCAGCATCAGGACTCCTTGACTCCCAGGCCTCAAGGAAGGAACTGATCAGGTGCTTGGAGATCTTATGGAGCAGCTGCTGTAGGCTGAAGATGTCCCTCAACCAGAATGCTGTCATCCAGGTGCAATTGCAGGACCTCCGCCGCCTCCGTGAGGGTTTCCCTCACAGCCTTCCAAGAGGAGAAGGAAGAGGGAAGCTTAGCCAGGTTCCCTTGGAGGGCAAGAGCCCCTTTCCTCACTTGACCTCCCTCCTGAGCCTCAAGGGCTTGTGGGGCCAGCGCTGGATGTCCCTCCCACCTTGGCCACCTCCTCATCCTCATCCTCAACATGAATCAGCACTGCTAGGAGGCCATGGATGATCTGGCGCGCCTGGTGGAGATGTTCCGGGCACCAGAGAAGATGCTGGAACCATTTAAGGGCTGCTTTCTGGATCTTGGCCGCCTCCTTAAAGGGGGAAGGAAAAGGAGACATTCTTTCCCCTTGTTTCCTTGCGTGAAGCCCCTTCTCAGGGCTTGGGGAGAGGAGGAAGCCAGCACCCTCCCTCCCCAAGGAAGAGGCCCAGGGGCCAAGACTCACGTGGTGGAAGAGAAGGCAGCAGGCGGCAGCCAGGTGAGCCTTCGTGGGGCCCGGTCTTCCTCCTGCAGCAGGGGCCCCAGCCGGCCACCCAAGTCCAGGAACTCCAGGGTGATGTTGCTGTGGAGGGATTGCAGTCCCCTGAGGACCCCGTCCAAGAGCTCCCAGGGACCCATGGTCTGCAAAGAGAGAGAAAGGAGGGTCAACTCAAATTGCAGCTGTGCCTAAGAGGTCCCCTACAGAGAACGCCTGGCCACAGGCCTCCCCCCTTGTTTGGAGAAGGAACCTTCCAGGATCTTCCATATCATACGTCCTTCATACAATAACATGAGCAAGGCCAGCTGGGCCTCTCTGTTTGGCATGTAGCATGTGCTGTGCCTGACTTACCTCCCTGTAGGACTTGCAGAGAAGGAGAAGACCCTGCCTGCTTTGATGTCAGATGGCCAGGCTGTGATGTTGGAGGCCAGGCTGTTAGCAGCGTCCAGGTCTTCTCTGTGGAGTGAGGGCACTGGCTGATATGCAGCAGCTGAAAGAGGAGAGGAGAAGCGTGAAGGTCTGGACCTAGGAACAGAAGCACTGCCTCTCACCTCCTTGCCTCCCCAGCCCTGCCCTAAGGCCCTGTCCAACCACAAAACACAGACTGACCAACCCTCCTCATCTGGATGTAGAAGGCCACCATGCCGGCCAAATGCTCCAGCAGCGCTTCTGCCTCACAGGTGCAAAGCAGGTGCCGGAGAAGGGAGGAGGAGGACTTGAGGAGGCTCGTGAAAGACAAGACAGACCCCTGTGAGGGAACCCAGCAAGGGAGAACAAGCTGGGCCTCCTCCCTAAACCTTCTCCAGCCCTTCGCTCCTTACTGCAACTGGAAGGCCATCCCCTCGGGGCAGATGCTGGGATCTTCAAGCATCTTCTTCTTTGAGGTCTCGTTGAAGGACACCCAGGCCACCCTCTTCACGAGTACTGAGATGATTTTCACCAGTTCTCTTCAGAAAAAAAAAATGGAAAGAAAAGGTTTACTTCCCAGTGGAGTGTCTTAGTCCCCTATCAGGCCCCCAAAATGGCTGTCAAAGAATTTAAAGAATTTTCCCAACAACTTAGAGCATTCAAACTTAAGAAATTTGAAAGGGATGAAAATGATTATAACAACAACAGAGTTTACCAGTGGATATACTCCAAACACCACCACTCTAGAAAACAAGTAAGGTTCAGTGAGTACACTTCTGAAGAAGACACAGGGTCTATGTCTGACAGCTCAGGACACAGCATGTCCTCAACAAGGAGGGACAACACTCATATGCCTAGGCGTACAGGTCGTATTAGGAATAGGCCTACCCGTTTTTTTCAAGAGGCTCCGAATGTGAAATGGAAGACCTAGTAGTGAATTTGTCCAATAGAGTATTATTAACTGCTCAGGAGAAGGATGTTATCAACAAAGGTCTAACATTTGTTCCCAAACCTAAATACAATCCCTTTAGGATGCGTATAGAATTAGCTAGATTATTTCGTACGATTAGACTAAGACACCATTTTGGGACTACATTAAATCCTATTACCACCACCTTCAAACCGCGTAGAACTTTTTCCCCTACTACTGACCATATAGGGCTTAGAGTTTTTGAGAAAACAGTATGTGAGGAATTATGTCACACGTTTACTAAAAGCAAAGGATCACACAGTATGAATTTTTCTAAAGATGAATGGCAATCCTTGCGGAATTTAGCGGAGGGCAAAAACCCCATATGGAAGCCGGCAGACAAGGGTGGGGCCATAGTATTAATGAATCGCATTGATTACATGAATGAGATCCATAGTCAATTGTCAGTAAGAGAACATTATCTTAATATAGAACAGGATCCCACACATCATATCCAGTCAATCATTAAAACGGTAACATTAGAAGGGCTTTCGCTTGGGTATATATCAGAGGATGTGTACAAGTTTTTACACACTCCATGTCCCAGAACTCCTGTATTGTATACTCTTACTAAAATACACAATAATATTAGGCCAGTTCCTGGCCATCCTATTGCATCTGGATCAGGCTCCGTTCTGGAACCACTAGCTAAATTTGTGGATTACTATTTACAACGCTTTGTTCAACAGACTTCATCCTATGTCAAAGACACTAAACGCTTTATCAATATTATTGAACCATTGGTGATCCCACCGGATGTGGCTCTAATGTCTGTAGATGTAACATCATTGTACACCAATATTCCTATAGAGGAGGCGCGAAATATATGTGAATCCACCTTGAACAGGAGGTCTAATTGCTACCCGCCCACCTTCTTTTTGCTGGATCTCCTTGATATTATTCTTGAGAAAAAATATTTTAAATTTGATCAAAAATATTATTTTCAAGTACAAGGAGTAGCCAGGGCATCCCTGTCATGCCTTCTGTAGCAAATTTGTTCATGGATAATTTGGAGAATAATACAATTCTGAATCATATGAATAACCCTGTAGCACACAGTATCATTAAATACTGTAGATTTTTCGATGACATTTTCATTATTGTAAATTCACACCATGAGGCAGTTACACTATTATCTTGGATTAATACCATTCATCTAAACATCAAGTTTACAGGTAACATTAACTCTGGGCTATGTTGTAAATCATCAAAGTGTTTGTAAAGTATCGTCCCTTGTTTTTCTAGATGTCTTAGTCATAAAAGACAATGACCGATTGAGAGTAAAAAACCACCGTAAAACCACTGACAGAAACTCTTTGTTACATTACAATAGTTACTATCACTGGGCCTTAAAAAAACTTACCTTATACACAGATGCTCAGGATTAAACGTAACTCCTCAACCCCACAAGACTTCAGTGATGAGATTGAAGTGACTAAACATCTGTTTCTAAACTGACTAAACATCAGTTTAGAAACAGAGGTTATCCTGAACCCCCACTGATAGCATACAAAAGGACTCAAAATATTGGTAAGACCCAGACCGCCAAGTCCAATTCGGTGGGCAATTATCGTTGTCAGCACTGTTCAGTGTGTCCCCAACTGGTGGAAACGAAAATTCTCATACACCCACATTTGAGTTCAAATTTTCTCATTTTGCGATCTGCACCTCGAAGGGATTAGTTTATTTACTTAATTGTAGTTGCAATCTTTCTTATGTTGGTCAAACTCGCAGAGAGATAAGATCTAGGATAACTGAACACAGGAGTAAAATCAGAAATCATTCCAGGGAGTCGATACTTTACAAACACTTTGATGATTTACAACATAGCCCAGAATCCTTTAAGTTTCATATCCTTGGTTACTCATTCCAAACAAATGGATTTCAACAACAAACTTCTAGGGAGAGAAGCATACTGGATTTTCCGATTAAGGACGGAATACCCACATGGTCTGAATGAACTAAATTTGTACAACTGTTACACATAATCTCTGGACCTCAATCAATTATACTATACCTCCCTACTTGAATACATGGAGAGCATCCACAGCGCCATCTGGTGGTTGCTGTTCCCAACCCTTGCTCCTATGGCTCTGAGCTTCTTTTTACCTGAAGTAGTTATTTTCCATTTAAATAGAGGGAACCCACAGACCTCTTCCATACTCGCAGCAGACTATCATGTGAGTACCCTCCTAATTTGTAAAACACCTTAATATTTTTACAAAATAATCATTTTTAACATAGTAATTTTTAAACACTCATAGCCACATTTCGTTCCTTTGATTTAGATACCACTGAGCCAAAAACCTGTACCTCCCAAGGAGAACAAATTCTCAAGTGTATAACTTTGTAAGCAACTTAAACGTGTTGTAACACATGGTGTTTAATGGATATGTTCAACAAATATTGTTGTAATAACAAGTGTGAAGACTTAGCAAGTTTCTTTGAATGCATTCTAGTATAAGATATTTAATATGTATGTAACTGTAGCAAAATATTGCTTTATACATTAATTTCAGTCCACCAGAAGAAGGTCTGAAGTAAGGCCGAAACCGGTCATGGGCGGCAGATCTATAAGCTACTCAACATAAGAAGATACGACACTGATATTATTCCAAAGAGACTGTACCAAAATTTACATAATATTGTTTGACATCACTGTGAAATTGAACAGTACATCATGTCTATACAACTGCTTGCTGAATTCTATTATTGTTTACTGTATGTATAAGTGGTATTTTTGCTGTATATGCATGCCCAGTGTGGAACACATCTCACCACATTAAAACATTGGATGTGGCTCTTAATGAGACATGCTGCATTATCACAGGATGTCTATACCCTACACGACTGGAGAAATTATACTGTTTAACCAGTATTGCATCACCTGACATCCATCAGGAAGTAGCAGCCAATAATGAAATGGCCAAGGCAATGACATATCCAACCCATCCCCTGTTCTGATATCAGCCAGCATGCCAATGCATTAAATCAAGAAATAGTTTTCTAAGATCTACAGAGATACTTGCAGGAATACCTCCAAGCAAGAGTCCAAAAGTGGCAGATAGTGCCAGCTACTAAAAATTAAATCCTTTTTTCCAATTCTCCATGAGGACACACACTTCCTTGATCTATTTTCAAACTGGTTTCAGAGCAGGATATGGAGTTGAGATGGCTATGGTCGCCTTAGGGGATGATCTCCACTTCAACATTGACAAGGGGTATGTGTCTCCTTTAGCAGCTTTCGACTCCATCAACCATAGTCTCCTTCTGAACTCCTGAAAGGGGCCTTGGGAATCAATGGGAGGCACTAGGCTGCAGTGGTTCCAGTTGTCCCTCTCAGGTAGGTTCCAGATTGTAGTGCTTGAGGACAGCTGCTCACCCAAAAGGAGTTGTCCTATGGCATCATCCCACAAGGGGCCATTCTATCCCAAATGCTTTTTAATATTTACATGAAAAATCTAGTATTTACACTCCTACTCCAACCCCCAAAGGGAGAAGGGAGGCCCTCTTCTCCTCTGGGGACCCCCTTCTTTCTTGGTGCCAGGGCTTCCCTTGGGGGAGGGGTGCGACCCCAGGTGGGGAGGGAATAGGGCCCCAAGGGTTTACCTCGGAAGAGCCACAGGAACAGCCTCAATGTTTTCGGGGCCCACGTGGCGGAGATGTGGGCACCTCGTCCTTACTGTCTGCAAAAGCAGAGAGAGGCAATGAAGGGGGCCCTCAGCGCCAGAACAGGGCAGGCTCCAAAGGGAGTGGGAGGGGAGGGCTCCCAAAGGGAGTGCAGCCCTTACCCTGAACTACTTGTTCAGGGCCATCCTTAGTGGGGGTGTGTGGAAGGGCCTGGGCTGAACAGGCATCTGTAGGGGGCGGCCTCAGCTGGATCTGCCTGCAGAACCCTCTGCCCATGATGCTGTCTGGGAAGGCAATGGCAGGGCCAACAGACTCGAGGCCTGTCGGAACCCCTGATCTCCATGGCAACAAGGTAAACACCACCAGCTTTGGAACCTTGGCAGGAATGGAAGCTTTTCTAAGGAAAACAACCAACAGCCCGGAGCTGGTCATGGGAGGGAGGGTGGCCCTGCATGTCTTCCCTTTTCTGCTCCCCCACCTTGGAGGGTGGGACTCGGCGGCCCCGGGGCCCTTTGGAGCCCCAGGCGGAGACCCCCTTGGCTTCCCTTCTGGGAGGAATGTGCCTCTCCCTCCAGCTCTGGTTCTTCCCAAGACCAGGGGCTGTCGAGGGCCCCCCAGACCCTCCCAGGAAGGCCACCAAGCCCTTTAGGGACATCTTCCAAAGGCTCTTTCAAGGTGACATCTCAATCAGGTTGAGATTCTGTCAAACAAGATTAACACCCCCCCCCCCAGGTCCCTGGCACAATAATTTATAGTTTCCCAAAGGCATCAGAAAACATGTTTTTTAAATTTTAAAAGAATTCTTCTCTGGACTTCCGCAATTGCAGAGAAGAGCAAAACCAGCAGGGGACCAGCAACAACCCCTGAAGTCGAACATGACCCCTCCCCCCCATAAGAGATAGTAACTTATAGTTTTGCTAAGGGCAAGGAAGCCAGGCTGGGTAGTAAGGGTTAAGCCTTGGTCAGTTTGATGTGTATCATTTAATCAAGGCTTTATGCTCTATTTTCATATGTTTACAGCAGAAAGTAACCAATTTATTACTGAAAATCATGCCACAAAAGTATTTGAATTTTCCCATCTGAGGCACACCTGGGCTCCTGATGGTCCCCCATCTCACAAACAAGGGACTCTCTTTCCCCCTCATGGATATTTCCCTTTATGGACCTTCCTATGAATAATATGAACTATGGACATTGGGGGAAGGTAGTTGGGTTTACTCTCTGTATTATGATTTCATATTTTCTCCTGTATTTCTATATTTCCCTTCATGTATTTGACCTTGCCCTGACCCTTTTGCCCCCTTCCATTCTCCTTGGGGGAAATCTACAAGGAAGCTGTCTTGCCTTTGGAAAAGCAATCAGCGATCATGAAAAGACCCTTATCTTTGGACATTCTTTGCATGGACAATAGTAAAGGAAATCCTTTTGTCTTCGGAGTTGGGCCACCATTAGGATTTCTGTTTGGCAGACTTTTAAATCATATAACAATGGGGGGAATATGACCTTAGAAAAGTCCTTTTTTCCTCCAAGCTGTTTTTATTTCAAACTTCTCCACAAAGAACTTCCACCCAAGTCTTCCCCTTTGTGTCATATCGGATGGTGACAGGAAAACCTGGATTTCTTTAACATATGTTTATTGCCTTCACTCACGAACACAATAGAATGGCTTGGCTGGCAGACCCCCCACCCGGATCTCGCTAAGCCTCAGGGACAATTTTGTCATAATCCACTCCAAAATGAATTGTCTCCCTTCATCCCGCCTCCCTTCTGATTCGCTGGAGCGCCAAGGCAGCAGGAGCCTCCTGATAGGCTCTGGTGCACCGCGAAAGCCCTGTGATTGGCCCTGATGCATGAGGGATGGCCAAGGCTCCTCCCACCTGTTTGCACGTCAGCCAATCCCCTTCGAGCTGAGCGGGAGGGGGAGCAGGAATTTTGAAACTCACAACTCTGTATTTTCTATAAAAATGGCCTTTACTTCTGTAACCACATGCTCTGCTTGGCAAATGATTGCTGCTCTGCATCCTTTTCAGCTGAATCGTTAATAAACCTCGATGGCTCTTCCTTCCACTTGGTGAGACCTTTAATTGGGAAAAATCAGGGATTGGGTGCTTCTCTCTGTCTCGCCAGGGTAACGAACTCTTTAAAGAGTCGGATTGGTCTCTGCCTCCTGGCAAAGACCCCTAAATTCCTCCTCTATAACAATTAGCGCACCACGAAGGGACTGGCTTGGGTCCACACTAAATTTTTAGACTAAATTACAAGCCGCTCCCTGGTCCTAAGGTTTGGGGACAGTCTTCCACGAGTGATTCTTGCCCAAATGCTCTATAAAATAAACTGGGCACCATTGTTGCCCACCCAGGCATCTCCCTCGTGGCTGGACTGACCTTGGACTCTGGCACAAAGGCGCAAAAGGGAAGCATTCAGGCTTTCCAGGAAGAAAGGCCACCGACGTGATCCAGAAAAATCCTAGGTAAGAAAAGCAACCAGGGGGCACGCCAAGACTCTAGGTCAGGGGTCCTCAAACTAAGGCCCGGGGCCCGGATGCGGCCCTCCAAGGTCATTTACCTGGCCCTTGCTCAGGGTCAACCTAAGTCTGAAACAACTTGAAAGCACACGACAACAACAACCCTATCTCATCAGCCAAAAGCAGGCCTACACTTCCCATTGAAATACTAATAAGTTTATATTTGTTAAAATTATTCTTCATTTTAATTATTGTATTGTTTTAAGTGTTTTTTGCACTACAAATAAGGTATGTGCAGTGTGCATAGGAATTCATTCATGAATTTTTTTCAAATTATAATCCGGCCCTCCAACAGTTTGATGGACTGTGACCTGGCCCTCTGTTTAAAAAGTTTGAGGACCTCTGCTCTAGGTGGTAGGGATCCTGGAGGTAAGGCACTTCGGGTAACAGGATTCGGGAACAAATTCCTAGATGAGGCGTGTGGAAGAGCTTGCATCCTAGGCTAGGTTAGAGCAGTCTAGATTTGCGGTTGCAGGCTTGGGGACTGTGTGGGGTTGTGGGATTGTTTTTCTTCATCGCCCACAGGTTGCTCAGGTGCTAGCCACTTATTTCTGGTGGAGGGGACCTTTGGAGGAGAGCCTGCGTTCCCGGTTGGTGGGGTGGATCTTCCATTAACTGTGAGTAAAAACAGGGGCTGAGTCAGAAATGAGTGTTTGTTCTTCTTAGCCAAACATGTCCCATCCCAAAATGAACACCTTTAGGTAAGAAGTCTTGGCTGATTGGGATGGGTGTGCAGGGAATCTTCCTTGCCAGCCAAGCAATGGCCTTGGCATAGTGTGGGGAAATGGCCACCCAACCACTTGGGGGCTGCCTACCCTGCCCATGGCAGCATGGCTCCAAGCCCATTGTCAGGGGAAGGCCAGGAGGGGTGGCCCATGCAGCATGCTTCACGACCAGGCCGGAGGTGGGGTAGAAAGGGGAAGAGTGATCAACTTTTTGCCATGCAAGGAAAGTTGAGACTAAACCCCCCTCCCCTCAAAACCCCCCTCCAGACTCCCTCCCTGCCAAGGAGGAAAAATGCCCTAGACCCTTTTCATTTTTCTTCCCTACCCTTCCCATTTGCCCTCCATAGCCCCCAGTTGCCCCCTCTCAGACTGTTTCTTCTCCACTCTTTCCCTAGTTCCAAAGGGAACCTACAGCCAAGCCTTTTTTTCTGCTGCCTTCTTTGGGAAAAACCTGGAAGGGGGGAGGGAAGAGGGGGCAGGCTGGAACTACCTTTTTCCTTTGCCTTGGGGCTCCTTGGCAGACCCTGGGCCTTCTCTCTCCCTCTCTCTTTCACTGGAAAGAAGAGGAGGGGAGGGGAATAGCTTGTAAAGTGACCCCTTTGTCCCTTTTTCTTGAAATCTGGGAGGAGAAAGGGGAGCGAGACCTGGGCTTGTTTTTCTTTCTCTCTCTTCCAGGGACAGTCCCCAATGTCCATTTTAGGGTTACCTCTACCTTTTTTCCTTTGTCTCCATGCCATCTCCTTCCTAGGGTTTTCAAAAAGACTTCCTCTTTCCTCAACAGGAAGAGGAGGAGGAAAGTGGGAGGAGTCTTCTTTTGTTTGACCTCTTTTGTTCCTTTTTCTCCCTTGGAATCTGGAAGGGAAAGGGGCTGACCCAGACTTGTGTTTCCTTTCTCTCTTTCCCACCAAGGAAGGGGGGTGGAAAAAAAAGGGGGGAGGCTTCATCTAAAGTGGAATTCTGTGTATTCATGTAATGTCTGAATTGTATGCCCCCTCTGCTTTCCACTGCTCCTTGAAGGAATACACTGGGGATGGGTAGTTCTCTGGGGAAAGGGTTAGATGTGAATTCTTTGACATGTTTCTCTCTTCCTCTCCTTTCTTCTGTGCCATCTTGCCCTTCTCCCCTTTTCCTCCCATCTACTACAAATCCCCACCTCACCAAAGCACCCCACTTTCTTTCTAACGCTAAATCTTCAGTGCCTTGTGTGCCCCCCCCAAGGGAGACCCTGCCACCTCTGTGACTTAGCTGCCTCACAAAAATCTCTCTCTCCCCCCAAGTCTCCCTGACCCAGGACCCCTTTTGTGCTCCCCTCCTGAACCTCCAGCTTTGCTGCCCCCCATTTCTTATGGCCCTAGGCCTGGAACCCCTCAAACCTTCCTCTCCTTTTTTTGCTTTCAATCTCTCTCTCTCTTTCAGTCTCCTCCTGGGCAGAGCCCCCGGTGGTGCAGTGGGTTAAACCCCTGTGCCGGCAGGACTGAGGATCGATAGGTCACAGGTTCGAATCCGGGGAGAGGCAGATGAGCTCCCTCTATCAGCTCCAGCTCCTCATGCGGGGACATGAGAGAAGCCTCCCACAAGGATGATAAAAACATCAAATCATATGGGCATCCCCTGGGCAACGTCCTTGCAGATGGCCAATTCTCTCATACCAGAAGCGACGTGCAGTTTCTCAAGTCGCTCCGACACGGCAAAAAAAAAAAGTCTCCTTCTGGGAAGCATTTGGGAAGGAGAAGGGGGGCAGGGAGGCTGGGCTTAAAAAAAAGGGGGGGGGAACCACTTTCCTTTTCTGCAACTACAAAACCCATTTTCCAGAGACAGTCACCAATGTCCCTGCCTTTTCCTTTGTCTTCTCTTCCTCTTATCCCATTACTCCTCAACTTCCCTCTCTTGCTTCCAACCCCCTCCCTTTCTCCTCCTGCAATTTTTCACCTGGGAAGTGTTTGGAGAAGGAGGAGGGGGGCAGCGGGGGATAAGAGGTGTAAAGAGGACTCTTTTTTCCTGTTCCTGTTTCCTTTGGCTGAAGAAGGGAGGGGGGCGGGGGGAATGATCTATGCCCCCAAGTTCATTTTTTTCCTTTCTCTCCCTCTAAGTTAATGTCTCTGAAACTCCTCCCTCTCTTCTCTCTCTCTCCCCCCCCCCCCCCAATCTTCTTAGTCTTCTGTGGTCTTAATTTCCTCTTATCTTCTTCTCAAACCTAAAGAGTTGAGGGTGGGAGAAGAGGTGCATTTCTCTCTTTTCCCTCTCCTCCTCATGCCAAGGGTGACATTCACACTTGCCTCAAGCGAGCAGGAGTGCTTCCTTCTACCCTGGGCATCATTCCACAGGGAAGTCTCCTGACATTTCACCCACATCTATGGTTAAGGCTCTCTCTCTCTCTCTCCCTCTCTCTCACTCTCACCCTCCACAGTGCCTCAAAGGCTGCTTTTTTTCTCCTTCCTGGCCCTTCTCCCCCCCTTCCATGAGTGCATGTATGTGAAGGTTTTAAATTATCCCTTTAACTGCCTTAAATATGAGGACAGCAGGGTCCAGAGAGGTCTTCCTCACACAGTGAAGAGACCCAGAAGACCACCAAAACATCAGATCGAACTGTGGGACCCATAATCCACTCCTGTTGCAGAGGACAACTACCTGGGGGGAGGGAGGCTCCGGGCCATGGGATGACTTCACCCCGCCTCCCCAATTGGGAAGGCCAGGGGCCATGGTTGAGACTAGAAGTCCCAAAGAATGGAAGGGGAGGAAGCGGGGAATGAGGAGGGGGGGGAAGCAGGGGGGAGAGGGAAATGGGGGGGAGGGGGAGGGGAGTATAAGGGACAAGGGTTCACACTGGTTCAAGCAACAAAAAAGTTTTTAAAGGGAAATGGAAATGATGTTCCATAAACTAAGAATTTCAACACTTAACACGAGAGGTTTGGGGACGGTAATTAAAAAGAAGGCGGATCGAAGCCCTACTGAAGAAGGATGCGGCGGACATTATCTTCCTACAGGAAACGCATCAGAATAAATCGGGCTCAAATGAACTAAAATCGAGTTGGATAAGGAATTATGAAAAATCCTTTGGGTCATCAAAATCAAGAGGGGTAGCTATAATAATTGCAAAGAAGTGTAATTTTGTCATAAACAAGGTATTGAAAGATGAAGAGGATAGATACATAATAATGCATGGTGAAATAGGGGAGGATAAGTATGTATTAGTAAACGTATATGCACCAAATGCAAAACAGCAAAAATTTTATGAAAAAGTGCTAGAGCAAATAGAGAACTATCACCAACAAAATGTAATATTTGGAGGGGATTGTAATTGTTATATGGACCAAAAAAAGGATAAAACTATGCAAACATCAAAAATTAGAGATATTGAAACAACGGATTTAAGCAGAGTAATGAATAAATGGCAATTAAAGGATGTGTGGAGATTGGTAAAGGGAATGAAAAAAATATACATATTATTCAGCTGTGCATAAGGTGTATACAAGAATAGATTATATTTTTGTTTCTAAAAATATGTTAAGTAAAGTGTTAAATGCGCATATTGGAATAATTAAGATTTCAGATCATGCCCTGGTCTCAATTGAGATCACTTTGAAATGTGACTATGATAAAATGAGGAGGTGGAGATTGAATACAAAAATTTTGAATCATAGAGAGATAGTGGATAGAGTGAAAGCAGAATGGCAAGAAATTTGGGGTTTTAATGAAAAGGAGGTAACAAAAGGAGTGCTGTGGGACACAATGAAGGCGGTGGTGAGAGGGTTATGTATAAAAGAGACAATTAATCTCAAAAAAAAGGCAAGAAGAAAGGAAAAGAAACCTAGAAAAAGAAATTGAAGAGATTGAAAAAGAATATGTTATAAAGAGAGATACACAAACTTATGTAAGGTTGAGAGCAAAAAAAGAGGAATTGGATAAAATAGAAATAGACGAAGTACAAGAAAACCTAATATATTTAAGGAGGGAATTTTTTGAATTTAGTGATAGGAATTCAAAGATGTTAGCTAAATCCACACAAAAAAAGAAAATGGAAGGCATGATCAATATGATAAAAGATAAAACAGGTAAATTATGTAGAACTATGAAAGAAAAATTGAAGGTATTTGAAGAATTTTATAATGAATTATACCAAACAAAAGCTAGCTCCATAGAAGCAATCAGGAAATATGTGGAGGAAAATTGGGAGGGTAGGTTGGAGGAGAAAGATAAAGAACTACTGGAACAACCTATTAAGAAGACAGAAGTAGAGAAAGTTCTTAAGAATTTAAAAGTTGGGAAAGCTCCTGGCTTGGATGGACTAGGAACAGAATATTATAAAAGCTTTAGAGAAATTTTGACTTCAAAATTATTAGAATTGTATAATGGAATAATGAAGGGAGATAAATGCCAGAATCATGGAGGAAGTAATTAATAATATTAATACCAAAACCTGATAAAGGGGTCATACCCGGGGTCATATAGGCTCATATTGTTAGTTAATCAGGATGCAAAGATCTTATCTGCTATAATAGCCAATAGAATGAGTAAATGCATGTATAAGTATATAAAAAAGATCAGTGTGGATTTGTAAAAGGAAGACAAATGTCAAATTTGATAGGGAGAGTATTAAATAAAATTTTTTTGGCTAAAGAGGGGAAGAAAAAAGTAGGGATACTATCATTAGACATTTTTAAAGCGTTTGATTGTGTGGAATGGGAGACAATAAGGGAAATAATGAACAAATTTGGAATGGGAAGTAGAATAAAAGGAATTCTAGAACAATATTACTCAAAAAATTCAGCAGTGGTAACTATAAATGACGGAGTGACAAATGAAATAAAATTGACAAGAGGAACAAGACAAGGTTGCCCTCTGTCGCCAAGATAGGGGACTGGACAAAGGCTGGAATGAAGAAGGAAAAGATTATGGAAGAGTTTAGAGAAATAAAATTGACATGGTTCCATTGTATACAATTAGAACAATGGTTCAAAAATTGGGAAAAAAATAACAAAAATGGAAGTAAACTTAATCAATTTAATCAAATAATACAGAAGGGAAGGAATGTAGAAGAGCATGAAAACTTGAAAGGAATAATTAGTAAAATATACAAGATAATAAACGAAATAAAGGAAGGAAACACAAAAAATAATACCCTTAAAGAGGTTTGGGAAGAAGACTTAGGTGTAAAAATAAATGAATTAGAGTGGCAACAACTATGGAGACAAAGACATTTAAAAAATTTATCAATACGGGTTAAAGTAAATTATTATAAGTTAATATGGAAGTGGTATCTAACACCAGTAAGATTAGCATATATAAATAAAAATAATTCAAAAAATTGTTGGAGAGGGTGTTAAGAACCAGGAACATACATACATATGTGGTGGCAATGTAAATATGTAAATAATTTTGGGGGGAAAGTATTTAGAGAAATAGAAGATATAATGAATATGAAAATGGAGAAAAGCCCTAGCATAGCTTTATTATCATTATATAACAATACACAATTGAAAAAGGAGGATAAAGAAGTGATAACAAACTTATTAACAATAGCAAGACTGCTTATAGCAAGGAATTGGAAAAAAGAAATAAATATACAAATAGAGGAGTGGTACAAGGAAGCATGGAAACTGGCAATAAATGATAAGCTGACATGTATATTAAAAGTTTAAAAAGGTATATGGAAACAAAGTGATTTTGATGTTGTATGGGGAAAATTTGTTGTAAATGGTTTAAAAAACAAAGAAGGAAAGTTACCATCACAAGAAGAATTGAAATTTTGGACAGACGATATGTAAAAGTTGTGGCTTGA